TTTCCTCTCCTGACGGCTGAGCTCGACTCAACATACGACGTAACGACCGCAACGGTGCCCCGCCCTCGAAGGCCACTGAGCGAGAGACATTTCTTCGATGAGTTTTTTCCCCCCACCCTCCGTCGTTAAGGAAATTCCTGCAATGGGTTTCAATGAGTCGCGCGGTTGCCGAGGCAAAACCTGGCTCCTCCGAAGGTTGAACCCGGGACCCCTTGCGAGCGACGTAATCCGAGTCGCCGGCCGAAACGTCTGAATTGGTCCTCGGGAGATCCTGGATCAATGTGAAAAAGGGTCCTTTATTCTGTACGGGGAAAAATAACCAGTCTATCAGCAAACTTTGGAATCGTTGAGGGTTACCGGGATTTCACCTACAGGCCTCGAGTAGAGGGGGCCCCTGAGGCCATGTAGTCCACCCTCTGGCATTCAGGGAGAAAGAATCCCACTGCAGTCTCCTTCAGGGAGCGCCGCCCTGATTTATGACATACTTCCATTGGAGAATGTGATTTATGACGCACCTCCAAGTTGGAGAATGTGATTTATGACATACTTCCATTGGAGAATGTGATTTATGACATACTTCCATTGGAGAATGTGATTTATGACACACCTCCAAGGTGGAGAATGTGATTTATGACATACTTCCATTGGAGAATGTGATTTATGACATACTTCCATTGGAGAATGTGATTTATGACGCACCTCCAAGTTGGAGAATGTGATTTATGACATACTTCCATTGGAGAATGTGATTTATGACGCATCTCCAAGTTGGAGAATGTGATTTATGATGCATCTCCAAGTTGGAGAATGTGATTTATGACACACCTTCATTGGAGAATGTGATTTATGACGCACCTCCAAGTTGGAGGATGAGATTTATGACATACCTTCATTGGAGAATGTGATTTATGACATACTTCCATTGGAGAATGTGATTTATGACATATTTCCATTTCCAGAATGTGATTTATGACGCCCCTCCAAGTTGGAGAATGTGATTTATGACATACCATCATTGGAGAATGTGATTTATGACATACCTTCATTGGAGAATGTGATTTATGATGCACCTCCAAGTTGGAAAATGTGATTTATGACATACTCCCATTGGAGAAGGTGATTTATGACGCACCTCCAAGGTGGAGAATGAGATTTATGACGCACCTCCAAGGTGGAGAATGTGATTTATGACATACTTCCATTGGAGAATGTGATCTATGACGCACCTCCAAGTTGGAGAATGAGATTTATGACGCGCCTCCCTCGGAGTATCTGATTTAATGACATGCCCTGTGAGGAGGACGCCGAAACAGGGTCTTAGGTGAACCCTCAACTACGTGGGGGCAGAGCCAATGGCGCATGGGAACATGCCGACCTGCTGCTCCTCATGAATAATGAAACTTGGCTCACGGCTCACGAATTAACCAGGGCAGAGGGGGAGCCATATGGCGCGCGCGCACTCCAGAAACGGCACCCAGAGCCGTCTCTCTCTCCCGTCACGCCAGCCAGCCAAGCCATCGCCCATTGTCCTTTTCGGCTTCTGGCAGGCGCCGTCCGGCTGGCCTTCGCCTGCCTGTACGTGCGTTAGAAGCCAGGTGGCCGTTGTCGCTGAATTGGGGTGGGGTGGGGGGCGTCCGTCGGAACCCGGCCGCTCCTCTCCCTTTGACGCCTTTGCCCTCCCTCCCCGACCAGCCGGTCTACCCTGTTGGTGCGGTTGCAGACGGACGGCCAGCCCGAGCTGCAGTACCAACCTGGCGACCACGTCAGCATCTTTCCTGCCAACCGGGCGGCGCTGGTGGAGGCCTTGATGCAGCTGGTCCAGGACCCGCCGCTGGCTGAGGAGCCCGTCGCGGGGGAGACCCGGGGGGCGGGCCCGGGGGGAAAGAGGGGGGGCCCCGGGGGGGGGGGGGGGGGGGGGCGGGGCCTCTTGCCCTACTTTGCACGCCTGGGCAGAACGATGGGTGGGACAGCACAAAAAATGGGGCGCGAGGCTGGTTAGGACGGGGGAGAGAGGCGGGAAGGAGCCCGCCGGGATCCTCAACTTATGCCGATCGAGAGGAAAATGGCGACCACGATTGAGCCTAGAATTACAGATAGTCCTAAACTTACCACCCCGACGGAGTCCAAAAATTCAGTTGCTAAGCGAGATCAACCCTTCTCCATTTTGTCCTTTCTTATGACCATTCTCACTTCTCCATTTCGTCCTGTCTTACGACCATTCCCGCTGCCGTCGTTGAGGGAATCCCTGCTGAATTGTCAAGTCGGCCCGGCCTCTAAGGGCCTCCCGTGTGGACTCTGCCCTATCGGACAGTTACCAACGGGGAATCCCATGACAGCCACCTTCATCCCCACCCCCTACCCCGGGGATACTGCGACTGTAAATACAAGTCCATCGCATGAAGCGTCTGCCTTTGGACACAGGGGGAACCCCGCAACGGTCGCTAAGTGTGGAAAAACAAGCTCTGTCCCCCGTTTTTTCCCCTCCATGGATGTCTTCGAACGGTTGCTCAAACGGTCGCTAAAACGAACAGTCGAGGACAAACCTTCCCCCCGCGATGGTTCTGAATCGCGTCCCCCGTTCTTCCTTGCCAAGAACGTCCCGTCGCCAGAGGGTACCCCCGTGAGCGTCGTAAGCCCAAGTCTTCTGTTGCCAAGGGTCCAAATTCAGACCCAATGGAATGGATGTACTGTCCGGATAAATCACCCACCCAAACAGTATCGTAGGTCACAAACCGCCGGGAGGAGCCTGGAGCCCCGGTTGGGGGATTCCTGTCCCGCTTCCCTCGACTTTCCTCTCGTTCTCTCTCCGTCTGTCTGTCTGTCCGTCTGTCTATCTCTGTCTTATCTATGTACGTATCTATCTATCTCTGCTTACCTTCCTGCCTGCCTATCATCTCTCTCTCTCTCTCCATCCATCCATCGATCTATCATCTAATATCATCTAACATTATCTATCTATCTATCTATCTATCTATCTATC